AACCGAATGCCATCCAAGGTTTTAGGGTTTAAGTCTCCCTTCAGTCTTCTTCATCCGGACAAGGATCTTTTTCCTATTCCTCTTCGTGTCTTTGGCTGCACTTGCTATGTACATATCCCAAGTGTCCAGAGACATAAATTTGAACCAAAAGCCCACAAGTGTATCTTCCTTGGTTATTCCCCCACACAGAAGGTTACTGTTGTTTTGATACAAAGACTGGCACTCGGTATGTCTCAATGGATGACACCTTTGATGAGCTTTCTTCCTTTTATGGTTCTTCTCTAGAGAGACATTGTCCAAAGGGGGAGGATTTGTCACAGGTGTTTGCCCTTCCTCTTCCTGTCCCAATTGAGTCTTTTGCCAAGTCTCTTCCTCCTTCAAATGAGTCAAGGGAGGATCAGTCACTTCACTCTCATTCCAGTGTTCCTATTCCTCCTCCTTTACCTCCTCACCCTCTTTTTAATCCCAGGTTGTACCAATGGCAGAGAACCAGAAATGAGCAAATTGTTTCCCCTACAACACATGAGCCTCATGCACTTCCAGTTACAGATGAGACAACAGGTACTGTTACAGCTCCTTTGGAGCCATCATTCCCAGACCTTGATATCCCCATTGCTATTAGGAAAGGAAAAAGGAAGTGTACTACACATTGCATTTCCAAACACCTTTCTTATAGTTTGCTCTCTCCTTCATATTTTGCCTACCTTTTTTCTGTTGCTTCTAACCCAATTCCCAGGTCTGTGTCAGAAGCTCTTAATATTCCAGAATGGAGAGATGCTATGAGAACAGAAATTGATGCCCTGCACAAGAATGACACTTGGGAAGTGGTTGATTTGCCTAAAGGGAAGGATCCAATAGGCTGTAAGTGGGTTTTAACTATCAAATATCATGCTGATGGCACAATTGAAAGGTACAAGGCTAGGCTGGTTGCAAAAAGCTATACACAACCATATGGGATTGATTATCTGGAGACCTTTGCCCCTGTTACCAAGTTGACTTATATGAGAGTTCTGCTATCTTTGGTTGCACACTCAGACTGGCCACTTTATCAACTGGATGTAAAGAATGCATTTCTGAATGGAGAGTTACATGAGGAGGTCTATTTGTCTCTTCCTCTAGGGATGTATGAAACAGATATGAAAGGAAACGTCTGCAGGCTGAAGAAATCTCTTTTATGGACTCAAATAGTCCCCTAAAGCATGGTTTGAAAGGTTTAGGGCTGCCCTTGTTAGCTTTGGCTATGTACAGACACAGTCTGATCATGCTCTCTTTGTGAAGAGGAGAGGATCCTTGGCCGTTTACCTGATTGTGTATGTTGATGATATTGTTGTGACTGGTAATGATGTCTCTGGGATTAATGATCTCAAATCTTTCCTTCATACAGAGTTTGAGATCAATGATCTGGGGGAATTGAGAAACTTTCTTGGCATAGAAGTTGCTAGATCCAAGGATGGGATCCTTATCTCTCAGAGAAAGTATGTTCTTGATTTGCTCTTTGAAACAGGGAAGATGGGTGCTAGACCAGTTGCTACTCCTATCGATATGAGCCATAAACTCTCTGCTTTAGATGGAATATTGCTAGAAGATAAGGGAGTCTTCCAGAGACTACTTGGAAAACTTCTTTATCTATGCATGACTTGGCCAGACATTGCATATATTGTCAGTTGCATCAGTCAGTTCATGCATGCTCCCAGGGATACTCACATGGCAGCAGCAGAGCGGATTATGTGTTATTTGAAGGGCTCCCCTAGAAAGGGAATTCTATTTGCTAAGCATGGCCATATGAAACTTGAAGCCTACACAGATGCTGATTGGGCCGGAAACATTGATGACAGAAGATCTACCTCTGGGTACTATATCTTGGTGGTGGGTAATATTGTCTCTTAGAGAAGCAAGAAACAATCAGTTATTGCTCGATCTTCAGCCGAAGCAGAATACAGAGCCATGCTTATGGAGTTTCTGAACTATTGTGGCTTAGATCCTTGATGGAGGAATTGGGTATTGAGCATGATAAGCCAATGATGTTATACTGTGATAATTAGGCCGCCATCAACATTGCTCACAACCCAGTGCAACATGACAGAACTAAGCATATTGAAGTTGATAGACACTTCATTCGAGAAAGAGTGGCTTCTAGAGAAGTGTGTCTACCTTTCATCACCTCTGAAGGACAGTTAGCAGATTTCCTCACCAAGGGCATTCCCAAGGCTAAACTTGAACATGATACTGGCAAGCTTGGCATGATTGACATCTATGCTCAGCTTGAGGGGGAGTGTAGAGAAGATGGGCCGAATGGCCCATAGGCTATTTATCCTTTTTATCTTTTATGTTCTTTGCTGTAATGGGCCTTAATCTGGGCTTTATTCTTTCTTATGTTATGTCTTTTTAATTTTTTGCCCAACTAGGGGTTTCTCTGTAAATTACTAAAGTTTAACTTAATGAAATAGAATTAAGGGAGTAAGAGAAGAGCTTATGTTTGAAAATCTCTCTCTTTGAACCCAAGTTGCCGCCACCTTCTTCTTCTTTTCTCCTCTTGAACTCTGATTTCTACTACTTTCTTTTGAATTTTTGCAACTTTCTAAGCAGTCCTTTCTTCTCAAAAGGCTGTTTTTCTTCTCATGCTAAAATGACAAGTGCTCTTTCGGGCAAGGACTAATTCAGTACCTCAGACATGTGGTTGCAGCAGGTATGATCATGGCAGACCCAGAGAAGGTGGAGGCCATTCAGAAGTGGCCCAAGCCCATTACTGTGAAGGCACTGCGGGGTTTTCTTGAGCTTACAGGGTGTTATTGGCACTTCATTAAGTGGTATGGGCTTATGGCTGCTCCATTAAATTACCTATTGAAGAAAGATTCATTTAGGTGGACCAAGGAGACCCAACGGGCTTTCAAAGGACTGAAAACAGCTGTTTCTAGCCCTCCAATTCTCACTCTCCCAGACTTCTCTCAACCCTTTGAAGTAGAATGTGACGCTTCGGGAGTAGGGGTAGGGGTTGTCCTGATGCAAAGGGGGCATCCCATTTTTGCTTATTTCAGTAAAGCCCTCTCATCAACTCACTGAAATCAGTCCACTGTCAAGAAGATGATTGCTGTAGTGATGGCAGTGCACAAGTGATGTGCCTACCTCTTGGGTTGCCAGTTTGTTATCAGAACAGACCAAAGGAGTTTGAAATATATAGCAGATCAATGGGTACACACTCCGGAGCAACAAAAATGGCTTAGTAAACTTATGGGCTTCGACTATCGCATAGAATATAATCCTGGGCCCACAAACAAGGTGGCCGATGCGCTGTCATGAGTAGAAGAGTTAGCCCAGCTAACCTGTTCTCAGCCCAGTTTCCCTCTTTTTGAAGCTATACGACAAGAAGCCAGGTCTGATCCCCAGTTGCAGATCATTAGAGATAAGTGGCCCCGAGATCCATCCCATGTTGTTGGTTATCATATTGTGGGGCCTGATCTCTTCTTCAAGGGCCGGTTTGTGGTAGCCCAAAATTCAGCCCACAAAACTGAACTGTTAAAGTTATTTCATGACTTTGCCTTGGGAGGGCACTTAGGGGTGCTACGGACGTTAAAGAGGCTCAACAGCCACTATCATTGGGTAGGAATGCGCAAGGATGTTTTGTGTCATATATCAGAATGTCAAACGTGCCAGCAGCAGAAATACTCGTTACAATCTCCCGCTGGCCTTCTGCAACCTCTCAGGATTCCGGATCAGGTGTAGGAAGACCTTTCCATGGATTTCATCATGGGCCTTCCCCGTTCTGCAGGCAAGGCAGTTATCATGGTAGTGGTTGATCGTCTCACCAAGTATAGCTATTTTTCTGCATTACCCCACTCATACACTGCAGCTATGGTGGCTGACACCTTCGTCCGCGAGGTAGCCAAATTACATGGGACCCCAAGATCACTTGCAAGGAACCCAACTGCACCCTTCCATGAGTCATCACCCGCAGACTGATGGGTAGGCTGAAGTTCAAAATCATTTTTGGAAGCCTATCTCAGGTGTTTTGTGGGAGAAAAGCCCAGACAGTGGGCCCACTGGCTTCTATGGGCAGAATACTGGTACAACTCAACCTACCAATCGGTTGCAAGAATGACACCCTTCAAGGCTCTTTATGGGAGAGAACTTCCTCCCATATTGCCTTATGAGTATGGATCTGCCAATGTGACAGAAGTGGAGACTCGTCTGGTTGCAAGGGATGAGATCCTCAGATTGCTCAAGTCCAATTTGGCAAAGGCCCAGCAGAGAATGAAGGTTCACTATGACACACACCACTGCCAGCTGGAATTTCAGGTAGGTGACTTCGTTTATCTTAAGCTCCAACCCTACTGCCAGGTCTCAGTGATAAGGAGGGCTTGGCATAAGCTAGCGCCTCGGTATTTTGGGCCCTTTAGGGTTCTGGAAAAAGTGGGCCCGGTTGCTTACCAATTGGAACTCCTCGTTACCTTGAAGCTGCACCCTGTATTCCACATCTCGCTCCTCAAGAAGGCAGTAGGAAATCAGACCCCTATCTCACCTAATTTGCCCCGATTCACTGAAGAAGGGGACCTTGACACTGAGCCGGTCAGAATTGCTGACTTCTGTTGGGTTTGTAGAGGCGGACAGGTCATACCCGTAGCCAAAATAGAATGGGCTGGGCTCCCATCAGAAGATGTCACCTGGGAGCCTTATCTTAGGCTGAATGAGAGGTTTCCAAACCTGGACCTTGAGGGCAAGGTCAATGTCAAGGGGGCAGGAATTGTTGGAGCCCAAACACCCCCTTGGAATCCAACAGTAGGTGCAGAGCAGATCCCCATCGATCAGCATTTCACTAGAAGACAGAGAGGCTAGCTTGCCACGTCGGCAGAGCCTCCCTTAGAGTTAGTTACACTGCCATAAGAAGATATTTTCTTCATGATTGCCTCGGTAGGCAAGCTATATAAGGCTCCGATCATGTAATAAGTGATGTGAATGAATATTTCCTTATTACCCCTCTGTGTTATCTTCTTGCTCCCATCCCCGTTCTTCCATCTTTTCCATTTCAGGAGGTTAAGCCACCCTTGAAGGGGCTTCCGAGGTGAGCGGTATCTCATCATATCATTCTTGTTTTGTTATCCTTGTGCTTGTACCTTTATATATATTTTTAAAATTGATGTCGTTTTACTGAATTTTATAGACTTTCTTTTTATCTCATCTTTCTTTTTCTCCACTTAAATTTTTTTGTGTTGGATATATTATTTTGACTATGGTTGGATTCCAGGTACTACTTGGCCTTTCAGGAGTTATGGTCGTCATGCTTTCTGTTCTTGGATCTGTAGGATTTTTCAGTGCTATAGGAGTGAAGTCTACACTAATTATAATGGAAGTCATTCCTTTTCTTGTTTTAGCTGTAAGTTCCATCATTATTACTAAGATTCTTATTCATTCTTATGTCTTTTTTTATAATGCTAGATCTTCTTTATATGTTATATGGTGCTCATACTAATGTTGTATTTCAACATTAACATCTGTGTGGAGACCTCATCCTTTGCTTCTGCTAAGTTGGAGACTTCATGTTATATTCATAAATCCATTGTTAAATCACATATGTTGACATTTCTTTTCGCAATTGTGTTACATACATACCTGAGAATTTTTCATCGAAATTCGTGTTCTACATTATTCATATGCATTAACTATCAAAGCCTTTTTAACTTTCTAAATAATAACTCATGGATGTAGGCATGAAATTGTTAGCAACTTGGTTCAGTGTACTTTAATTACACTGAGAGTTACACATGTTAGAGACACACACACACACACACACACACACACGTGAGAGTTACACATGTTAGAGAGTCATATCCCTGTTCCCCATATCTGGGCATCATTGGATGGAAACGTGGATAGAGACACCAAATCAGAAGTTAATGTGTTAGTTGATGGTACATCTGGTAACAGTATGGAACACCAACAAGTTTATTTCGATTGGTTTTTCTAGCCTGGTTTCCACGTCTTGTTTCTAGCAGATCTAGAGTCTGATTGTAATACTATAGGTTGGAGTGGCTACATGTATATCTTGGTACATCTTGTCAACCAGAAACCATTAGAATTGCCTTTAAAGGCAAATGAGCAATGTATTTATGTGGATCATCAATGACACTAGCTAGTTCATCATTTTCAGTTGGAATTTTCATTCCAATGCCAGCAAGTTTTCAATCAAAGATTCTTTGAGATAGCTCATAAGTTACTTTTTGGAACAAGTAGATCCAGGGTATTTGTTAAATATCTCTTTGATACTGAATTGACTTTAATTCTATAGGTTGGAGTGGATAACATGTGTATCTTGGTACATGCTGTCAAACGACAACCATTGGAGTTGCCTTTAGAAGGGCGGATAAGTAATGCACTTGTTGAAGTTGGACCATCTATAACACTAGCTAGTTTGTCTGAGGTTTTGGCATTTGCAGTTGGAAGTTTTATTCCTATGCCTGCATGCCGTGTGTTCTCCATGTTTGCAGGTAAGAGATCTTATCTCCCAATATGAAATGTCTTTCTTTTAATTTCTTTGGTTGACTTTTTTGTAATTGTTCTTTTGCAGCATTGGCTGTTCTTCTGGACTTTCTTTTGCAAGTTACTGCTTTTGTTGCCTTGATAGTTTTTGACTCTTTACGAGCTGAGGATCATAGGGTTGACTGCTTTCCATGCATAAAAATTCCCTCATCATCTTCTGAGCCTGATGGAGGTATTTAAAAGGGTTCTTTCAATACTCTAATGATGTAATTATTCAAATTGTGTCACTTAATAGTTCAAGCATCACCGATTTTGATTTCTTCTTGCTTGGAACTGTGAGAAAATCTGACTAAGCTCAAAATTGTGTAGGCATTGGTCAGAGAAAGCCTGGATTGCTCGCTCGATATATGAAGGTAATGTTTGGTTAAGGGGATCTCCATGGAGAAGGGTAATGTGTTTTGTAATTTATGGTCCTGTTTTGTTCCATTATTCTCTACATATTTATGTACATCTTGTACAGAATCATTAACTTTTTCTTATTCACAAATGTTACTTTGTGGTTCTTGCTTTCATTTCCTAATCTATTGTTGGATCTTTTTGAACTTGAAGGAAGTCCATGCACCGGTTCTTTCTCTTTGGGGAGTTAAAATAGTCGTGGTTGCTATCTTCATTGCTTTAGCTCTAGCAAGCATTGTAAGTTGCTCTTAATGCTTCATTAAACTCAGCCTTAATCCCAACTAATTGGGGTCAGCTACACAAATCCTGTCCTACCATTATGCTCTATCAAGAACTATGTTTTCTTTCAAATTTCTTTGATCTTTCCATAGATCTTTTAGAGTCTTCTATTAAGATTTTTCTTAGCCTTTCTTTTCTTTGCTTTCTGTCAATATATTGAGTAGACAAGTTTTTGAACCTTAGGCATTATGTTCAAGGATACAACCTGGCTTGGAGCAGAAGATTGTTCTTCCCCGTGACTCATATCTTCAGGTTTATGTTTTGAACTTTGGTTATTCTCATTATTCTCTATAGTATGCATATAATACAATGTCCTTTTCTTCATTTGGTATTGTCTCTACTTTTCAGTAATGAATTTTTTTTTCCTTTTCTTTGCAGGGATATTTCAATAACGTTTCTGAGCATCTGAGAGTAGGCCCACCATTATATTTTGTGGTTAAGAACTATAATTACAGGTATTACAATCTTTCTTTTTGAACTATAAATTAGGTGCAATTTGATCATTCTAAGAACTTCCATGTGCATAAGTTACTATGTTGTTTGTATTACTGTTGTTGCTGTCCAGCCTGCACTCTTGCCCTCTGTGGTTGGCCTTAATTGGTGCTAACATGACTTAAGTTTGAAATGGATAGCCAGAAGAAAATGATACGCTGGCGAGTTTAGAGGCATTATTGGTTTCAATTGAGCAATTTTACCAGATTGTCTTTAAGTCTTATGATTGTTTTGATTCTACTTGCATGCATTCAAATGAAATTGTAATGGGTATGCATCCATGGGATCCCTAGTTACAACTTGGGACCCTAATGATTTATTATTGTTGTATCTGTAGAGATACTGGGCTGAATGGGCCTTAACCATTATTTTATTATTATTTGATCTTCTTGTTAGTCATCCTTTTGTTTGAGGCCCATTAAACAAAAGGATGACTAACAAAAAGATCAAATAATAATAAAGAATGGTTAAGGCCCATTTGGCCCAGTATCTCTACAGTATCAGTTATTATTTGGGACCCTTATGACTTTCTAATGTAAACAGCAAAACCAGTTATTATCATGTTTCAAACTGTTTTTTTGGCTCAGTTCATCTCCATGATGGTTCTGATTGTTACATATGGAAAGTTGTGGATCCCTAGACTCTCTATGGGACTCATGGCAAAACCAACATTGTCTTTTGTAGTTTTTTTTCCAGTTTGTGAAAAAACGGAAATTGACATGGGTCTCTAGTCTGGACCACCAATTTTTAGGCATGGTCCTAGGTAAAGAAAAGCTTCAATTTTTCTTGATTCAGGAATTTAAATTTCAAGAAACTATTATGATTTTGAAGTATGAAATGTGGAAGTTGAATTTTCTAATTGAGTGGAATTTTCAATGATTGGGTTGTTGGGAGGAGTTTTGACTCTGATAAGGGTGCATGTAAGGAATAATCTTCACAGTTAGAAGAATGGAAAATTTGTTCACTGGTTGTGATTTGAGGATTTTGGTTTGTTAATTCGTACAAACAAAACTTAATGTACTTTTTACGTTTTTATCATGGTGTTGGGGCTATTTCTTGGTGTAATGGTAAAATCTAGGGGTGACAAGTATGGAACTCAGGTTCTAGTCTGAGAGAAAAGAAGAAAAAGAGCCAAAGGTTAAGCTTATATCCAGTCCACCCCTCCCAAGAACCCAAATAGCTGGGAACCTGGACCAACATTGAGCAATGACCTTTTTTATTGGTGTTGGGGCAACGTTTGTATATGCAGGGGTAAGGCTGCATACATCTTTCCCTCCCCAGACCCTGCATTCCGGGAGCCTTGTGCACTGGGCTGCCCTGTTGGGGCAACATTTCTTATTGATTCTGTAACAAGATATTTTTCTTTTTTGAAATTATTCTATCAACCTCTCTTGTAACATTTTTCTTTTCAACAAATGTAGTTTATTTACTATCACATTCTAAAAAGAAAACATCATGCCATGAAACTCCCCTTTATGCTCCTGCATCAAGGGGTAAAAGAATACCTAAGAGATCAGTTGTTGTATACTACTCAAACCAATCCACTTTATAAACCTACAAAAAGTATTCAAATTTCATCTTCCATAACTACATCACTCCCAAAGATCCTTTTAAAGTTCCTAGCCATACTACTTAATGAACTCCCTTAGTTTTAACTTTTAAGAAATGACCCCTCTTAAGAAATGAACTCAGGTGATCATAACTATGGTTAGGGCTGTCAGTGGTTCTGATTTGGACCAGACAACTAGTGTCCGAGCTTGAAATGATTGGTATTCAAATTCAGAACAGATTTGTTTTCCCATATCCTTCCTAATCAGATTGTTTTTGTATCATATCCAGATAATGATATAATCCATTCACTTCCCTAACTATGGTATGCTTTCTTGGATGAACAATCAAAGAAAAGTACTGAACTTTAAACATAATATATTATCTACAGTACCATAAAAGTTTTAACTACACCAAAAGTTTTTGGCATCTTAACCATCAAATGTTGACTTATACTGGATCTTTTAAGATATTTTTCTAGCTGAAAAGGTATTAAGAACTTGTGCAGAATTTGTTCTTCTCTCCATTTTGAGACCAGTTATCTCATTGTTGATTGTTTATTTGTCTTGACTCAAAACAAGATTATTGAATTTCCATTATTTTTGGTGTTGGTTTACCTGCTTCTCAGCTCAGAATCAAGACATACAAACCAATTATGCTCCATCAGCCAGTGTGATTCCAACTCCCTTTTAAATGAGGTAAACTGGTTGCTAGTGAAACAGCTATCACTTCTAATAATATATTTTTGTTTCCCAGTTTATTGTTTGTGTATTTATTTGTAGTTAAACAATCATAATGAAGTATATTGCATTTATATGAATTGACTTAAATATATGTGCCATCCACAACTTTATTCCACTTGATATGCATTGGTTTGATTTCAGCGTGTGAAAGATACCTTTCTCTGAAAAAATACAACCTTTAAATCACTCCCTAAAAGTAGTTTTTGTATAATTTGTTTGTCTGGATCAAATTCACAAAAGTTATAAAACTCTCCAAAAACTCAGTACATGGCAAGTAGTTGGCTTAAAGTAAAATATGATCTGAAAGTACATTTGGCATTTGGATTTCCCTGTGGCATTTTAAAAGCACAAAAACAATTCTGTATCACATGTTTTTGCTACTTAGTATATTTGATGCAGCCACATGGACTTTGGAGACTTCCAAATTGCAGTACTAAAAGTAGACACATGTATGGTCTGATGTCATAGTGTGGAAATAGGTTACCGCATCCAAATGCCTATTCATACTGTTTAATAATGTGAAAAGCATGTTCTGAAAACACGTTTTACTAAACAAGTTTCATAATACATAACCTAATTTTAAGGGTCTCTTTAACTCATTTTTCTATCTTAATTAATGACCCTCTAATGAGCTTTTCTTTGCCCGGGGGCTTGGAACAAGGATAGATTTTATCTCTTTTTCTATTTATTTTGGTGGGAAATCTTTAATATCTTAGTAAGCTGGCTGAGGTAGAGAGTGACCATTTAAGGTCTTCATAGTAGAAATGGAAATTGTAAATTTTTTAACGATCATCATTTTTGTTTTCAAGAACCAGATGGTGGATTCTGTGATGAACTTGTAGTTTTTCATAAGATGTTTTCAATAGATATCCAGTTTCAAGGTTGATCATGGGCAGTGGTATTGTGGAGATTTATAAAGGGGATGATATTCTTCTCGAGTTTGTCATAATCTTTAGGTGTGACTTCTTGTTTCAATCACTTGGTTATCGTGGCCCCTCTAGGAGGAACTCCTAGATTTAATGGAATCAACTCTGTGATTGAGGTTTTCTAAGAAGCTTCTGACCTGGAAAAATAATAATAATTTCATGAAGAACAGAATGATATTAACGAAATCCACCTTCCATCCTTCCTATCTATTTGTTGAATTTGGAGTCCATATTGGAGATTTGTTTGGAAAATGGAAACGGGTGAGTTTAAGACCACCGTAACAATTGGAAGATTGTAGTGAACAGATGATGAAGCTTCGGGGTTTTCGAAGGGTTAGGGGCAGAAATAACTTCATTTTGAGGAATCTCTCAAAAAAAAAAATCTTTCGAAGTGATTTGGAGGTTCCCTTTAGAACCTAGCAGGTTATGACTTTGGTGTTGTATCCCTGGATTTACATATGTATGATGTTGGGGCAAAATCCTGCACATAGTTAGCTCTGTTTTGCTAGTTTTACATTCTAGTTTGTGGTCCTCTATAAGTTGGTTTATATGCATGTTAATTGTTTTGAAAGTTATCCCTGGATTTGCATAATGTTGGGTTAAAATCCTGCGCATGGTTAGATCGGTTTTGTTAGTTTTACATTCTGGTTTCTGGTCCTTTATAAGTATAAGATGGTTTATGTTCATGTTAATTGTTTTGAAAGTTGTCTTTTATTGTCTCTGACAAAAAGTTTGAAAAGATCCAAATTCTTTTAGTGCCTGACTCTCTCCCTCAAATTCTTTTAGTGCCTGACTCTCTCCCTCAAATTCTTTTAGTGCTTGACTCTCTTCCTCTCTCTCTCTCTCTCTCTCTCTCTCTTATTTTTGCAGATAGCAAGGGCATCCTTGGTACCGGAATCAAGCTACATTGCTAAGCCAGCTGCTTCATGGCTTGATGACTTTCTTGTATGGATTTCCCCAGAAGCATTTGGTTGCTGCCGGAAGTTTACAAATGGCAGTTACTGTCCCCCTGCTGATCAGGTCAATGATCTATATAATAGGCATTTTTATTGTTTAGAGGAGACTATTAATTTATGGAAAATGATATCAATAAATGTGCCAAGCACTCCTCTTAGAAATTTAGGCTAGCACTTGCTACCTGAACTTCCTATACCATAATTTAAATTCCTTCCTTTTAATTTGAATCCTGTTCTCTTTTTCTTCCCCATGATTACTCTCTTAAAATAGACTTTACTCTCCTAAAATTGAAAGTTCTTTTCTGATGAACTGGCATGAATTCTGCAAAAACCTACAGTAACCGTGGCCTGAGTTTGTCTTTACTCTTATAAGATATTGTGCTATTGGTAGTGGCTTCACAAAGCATGTATCTACCAAGGTTCGAAATTTTGATACGTATCGGACCATATCAGCCGATACATATCATATTGGGGGCTTCCTGATACGCCCTACAGAGGGTGTTTTGGGGTTTAATCAGGTTCAAGGGGTAGACAGGCCTTAAGCCGACCCCCTCAGAACCAGGTTTAAAAAAAAACTAAAAAAAATAGGGGAGTGAGCCCCGATGGCATATCGGGCTGTATCGATATTTTGAACCTCGGTATCTACTGGGTCATTGAGTACTCCTAGGTAGGTAATATTCTTTATGGTTCACTATGTGGTAGCGACAACCCCATTGCAGGTGCCTGCATCTGCATGGACCAGAAAGGACTACCACCAGAGACTTTAATCATCTTGATGAGCTAGATGGTTAAACTGGCTAACCAGCTTGCCTGTATGGTTGTTTTGGAATTATAGTAGCAACTCAACTCTTGAATTAGTATATCTGATTTCATTATTTATTTCACCATTTGTCTACTTAAGCACATGCATTTTTTGTCCAGCCTCCATGTTGTTCCCCTGATGAAAGTTCTTGTGGTGTTGGTGGGGTATGCAAAGATTGTACCACGGTAATGTTGCCTCTTATAAGCATTTAAGGAATTTCTTAGTGTTTTTTTATGTTGTGGTTATCATGAAAATATTTTTTCTGATGCCTATCATGTGAATCAAGACACAAAATACTCTTAAAATTCACAAGAGTGGGTTTAGTGCTAATGTTTTGTTGTACTTTCAGTGCTTCCGTCATTCAGATTTGCATAATGATCGTCCTTCTACTGCACAATTTAGGGAGAAACTTCCATGGTTCCTTGATGCCCTACCATCTGCTGATTGTGCCAAGGGTGGACATGGGGCTTACACCAGCAGTGTGGATCTGAATGGTTTGTAAAAATGTCTTTCTTCTTCATAAATGTGCAATATAATCTGGTCTATCTGCTTTTACATGCACACTTTCATGTATTGTACAATTTAGTTCTTCAAACCAATATCTGGTTGCACCAATCAACTTGTCACCTGTCCAGGTTTCTGGGTCCATTTAGCCCCTGAACCACTTACTTGCAAAACGTTGACTTGGTCAACAACTCCATGTGCTATCCAATTGAACTGCTTAACTGTTTGACCTAGTCAGCAGGTCATGAATTAGATATTAATTCTCTTTTTCTCTCTTTAATATTTTATCCATTTCCATCATTGATAACAATATTCTCACTTATCACACTTATTTTGGTTTAATATGATGAATATATAATATTAGAGGCATGCCCAATTTTTCTGGAGATTTTCTGTAGTTTTATGTGTTTCCTGCATTTTATCTTTATTTATTATTTGATTTATGAAATTACAGGTTGACCCATTTGACCCCAATGGTTGAGCCACAAACCTGCCACCGGTAGGGGAAGTGGTTCCATATCTGGGTCATTTTTAAAACATTGTCTCAATCTCTTACCTTTCTTTAGTAGAATTATTTTGATTTTTTTTGTTAACTGAGTATTTCTGGTTAGCAGGTTACAACAGTGGTATTATACAAGCATCGGAATTTCGTACATATCATACCCCACTAAATAAACAAGTAAGCTAGAATCTTAGAAAATTAAAACTGGAATATTATTTTTTTTTCAGCATGATTTATTCAAGTGGTATTTCACAGAGTGATTATGTCAATTCAATGCGAGCCGCACGAGAGTTCAGCTCAAGGGTTTCAGATTCTTTGGGGGTAATCTTTGAATTCTACCAAAGCAGAATTACCTTTCTATTTATCCTGTTACCCCATCATGTTTTCATATAATAAATGTTGGGGTATTGAAATGAACATGAATTGGAAGCAATAATTAAGAAAGTTTCCTTTTTTCTTTAACATCATTATTGAGATTGTTTCCTCCTGGAAGGAAAGAAGTGTGGAATTATGGACCCACTGATTAATGATTATTAATTATTTCATTTTCCAAATACATGAACGCAAATTCAAGGGCTACTGATGAATGTTTATTAATAAGTTGATACTGTTAAGAAACTAATGAGCCACCAACATCTAGATGTACATTATCTGTTTTGGGGTATTTTCAAAGATTCTATAATATATTTTATTATTTACCTAACTTTTCAAGAAGTCACTCCTAGGTGAAAGGGCGATGGTCTTTATGAACCTTGTTTTCAAACTATAGGTTAGGGGTTCAAGTCATGTGAACATCCTATTTTGGATTTTTTTTTTAATTTTATCTATTGTGCATATGTAGGTGTAATCATGTAAACATGGATGAGATAGAATTACAATAACTTTAAAAAGTTCCAACATTCCATTGTGCTTAAACTTTAACAGATATGTAGTTTCAAAGTCGGGTATGATATTGGCAATCCAAATTAACTAGATCTAAAGGCCAAATTATTTCTTGTTTACCTAAAAAGGCCAAAATTATTTACCCTTTGGAATAAAAAGGCACACATTGCAGCTGTTGTCACTTATCCTTAAATTATGGACACTTAAATGATGATGATAATGGTTTTGTTGGGACAAGGCTTAGATGATGATGCTGATGTTGTAGGTGTTGGCAATAGTCGGGCAAGCCTCAAAATTCAAATAAATTGTACAGAGACGACACCTCATGTAGTCATGTCCAAAAGAGACACCTGAATCATTGGTTTCACCATGATTGAAGGAATTGCAGCCTCGGGTTTTACATAACTAGTGTGTGGGCATTATATACTAGAGACAATTCCTGAGAGGACTAAAAGTTTTAGAATATCTTTCTAATGGTGTGGGAACTTGCTTTCTTAAAGACAACTTTAAGTGGTAGGCCTTGCAGTTAATAGTTTTATGCAGCTTGATTTAGTTCTTATCCAAGAGTATGTATATCCAGGAACATATACGTGAAAATTTCTGAAAGCATGAGTGCTAACTAAATTAGAATAGTATAATAACTGATTCTAAAAATTTGACTCATAAAAAACGACATATTATCCAACACAGAAACCAAATTTTGTCAATGTTTTATCCAGCACTCTAACAAATTATTTTCCTCCGCAATGGAACTAAATTCTATGTTTTCAGTTGACATAGTCCTTGACCTTTTTCCTAGACTGATTGGATTTTTCTGATGCAGATTGAAATCTTTCCTTATTCAGTATTTTATATGTTTTTCGAGCAATACCTGGATATTTGGAGAACAGCATTGATCAACCTTGCAATAGCTCTTGGTTAGTTTAATACAAGAATTCTTGTAGTTCATACCTGGATCATATCTTTAATATCTAGTTTTGCCATGTTCTGAATATTTTCACTTATATAATAATGTATTAGCCAAGTGAAATGATAATTTTCATATCTTTTTTGGTCTAGAATCCCCTTTCAAATTTAATGTTTCTTTCTATTGAAATAGTTCAGTTGGATATGGATCCAAACTTGATAGTAAATAATGAACAAAAATAAGCATTCCTGCAATGCTATTATTATACAAGGCATAAATATTTTAGCAACTTAAGATGCTAGAATCAAATTTAAATAATTGAAAAATAATATGGTACCGTTCAAAATACAGAATCAAGACAGATTGGTAAGAATATTTGGAACCCATTGCTCTTTTCAAGAATAAGCTGTCGGTGCCTAAACTATGGTCATCTTGGCTTTCCCATTGTCATTTTAGGGGTTTTAAATTAGTAGTCTTCATTGTCAACTTAGTTCGAAAGAGAAAAACAGAATATAAAAGGGTGTGTTCAGTAGTCCACCCGCCCAAAGAGAGATATCTTATATATGTTTTCTATACAAGGCTGAGAAAGGACCATTATGTCCCTCTCTTACAAGAAAGAATAAAAAGAATACAGTGTACAAATGTTACAGCATAAAAAGGTTCTCCCAGAAGCCAAAAAAAGAAAGAATATATGACTGAAATCTTCAGTTTCTACATTCATCTGGCATATCCAAGCATCTCCTTCAACTCTCTCATCTTGTTATTAATTGTCAGATGCCGAATATTCTAATTTTTTTTAACTTTGTTCAATTTTTAAATGTGTTGCTTCTTGACTGAGTTATGCTTAATATCCTTGAATTTTGAGTGATGAACCTAAAGTATAAATTCTAGGTTGCTTTATGATGCCTTTATAGGCTTCATTTTCCATGAGCTTTGACAGCCATTTTATTCTTGTTATCTTTAATTTTTATTGAAAGTGGACAAGAAGCTAAAGGTTGGAACTTGGGTCTTCTATTGGATGATTTACTTCCTTGTATTGATGTGAACTTTTATTTAATGGTTTAATAGGTGCCGTATTTATTGTCTGCCTGGTCATCACTTGCAGGTTTGTTTTCATTTTATTTTACTTAAAATTGCATCATTAATCATTTTCTGTTTACTTGAGGAAAATGGATTATTGAAGAAGATGTGTTTCTTCTCTTTTAACCAAAGTATCACTAATTGGTTTTTTCCCAATTACATGCAGTTTTTGGAGTTCCACAATTATCTTAATTGTCTTGTCAATGATTGTTGTGGATCTCATGGTGAGCCTTCCCCTATCTTTGCAACTATAAGAAATAATAACCCCACCGCTATTAAGTGTTTATCCATTTTTACGATAAAATACAAATATGCTTATTTTTAGGAAGAATATATCTATTAGGTAAACTAAGTTTTTGTAGAGTCATATTGGAGTTGTTGGTTGCAATCCTTTGCATGTGCAATTGAAATTCTCACTTTGTTTCTACGCTTTTGTGTTGCATTGATGTGCTAAATGGTTATAATCTTATCTTTTATGTTTCTTTGACATGAAAAATTGAACTCTGCAGGGGGTGATGGCAATTCTAGATATTCAACTGAATGCGGTTTCTGTTGTAAATCTTGTAATGTCGATAGGAATTGCTGTTGAGTTTTGTGTTCATATCACACATGCTTTCTCGGTCAGTATTAATCCCATTTCAGTTTTATTTTGAGGACTAACTAACCTTTACCTAATGTTGCACTGGAGGAGAAATTTCGTAGACTATTGGCTCTGGTGTTGAGGGGATTCTGTTGATAGAATTGTGAATTGTCATCAGTTCTAATAATCTTGTGCTTTTCTTGTCACAGGTAAGTGGTGGCGACAGAGGCCAGCGAGCAAAGGAGGCTTTGAGTACAATGGGAGCTTCTGTCTTCAGGTTAGCATTTCATTCTTTTCACCCTGTTTCCTCCCTAAAGATACATAGAAGGAAGCTAAAGTCTTGATACCGGTTGGTTGAACACTCTCCCCTGGATGTAAATGGCTTGAAGTATCAGAGATGATGTTTCCATCAGTGTTTGCCTGATTAAAACATAAAATAGAAGCAGACTGGCATAGTATTCAGAAAGGCCATCACCTAATGATTGCCATAACTATTTGGACCTAATTCTTTTTTGCATAAAGTGACTGCTCTCAGACTCAAATCAACATTCTCATTCTTGTCAGCATGAGGTTTGCCATTGCACATATCATCTGCTATTGAGGCATATTGATCCATGCACGCATGTAACGACCGATAATAATATAAAACACGTGAAATGATGAGAAAAAAGGAAAGCTGAAGTATACATGACAGTAAATGTAGAGATGGCAAATTTTCCCGTCCCCGTGGGGCCCCGCCCCGCCCTGATCGGGGCGGGTTTTTTGACCACTGATCGGAGTTCAGGGAAAACCCGAAACTCTGGGGTTAGGGACGGTATTTGTCCACCCTGCCCCAACTATATTATATAACATAATATATATAATTAATATATGCTAATATGTTCTAGGTAGCTTTCAAAAAAAAAAATTAATAAGTATACAAGTAAGAATGACCGAGGTGGGGCGGGGAGGATCCCCGTTCCTCGTGGGGACAGGTACGAGGTTATGATTTTTAGCCCCTCCGGGGTTCGGGGTGGGGAATTTGAATTCGGGGTTGGGTGCAGGGCAGGCAAAACCCGGCCCTGCCCCGCCTCATTGCCATTCCTAAGTAAATGTGGCACATAACACATCTTTTTTTAGGTTTGCAATGGAAAATGGTTTAATTTTGTAACAATTAGTACTATTGGACACATTTTTTCTTATGTTTAGTGTGAAAAAGGAAGATCAGGGCAAAAACACTCAAGAACCATTTGACAACAGCTGAAGTGGCTAAACTAAATAGCTTATTGATCTGTCTTTTAGTAAACAAATTATAAGTAGGTTGTGAGCGCTTTAATGAATGAAGCTGAAGTTTGGTTGACTATCATATCCTTGAATATTTTATCATATATTATTTTATCCACCAAAAAAGATGAAGCAACAAGCCATTCAGTTCAGCGACTTCAGCTGTTATTGAATGACCTCTCAGTAACTTGAATATGTATATCAGCTTGATAATTTTTTCTTCAGGATGTCCCCTCTTTCCATCCTCTCCTAAAACAACTTGTATCAAGCACATTTCAATTAGATATTCCTTTCTGATCCACAAGTTTAACTCCCGGACTGGACTAGAGAGGTAGGGAGAGGTCTAAACCATGAACCAGATGAATCTTGAACACATTATCGTTCTGCTCTCTTTGTCCATACTACTGATTTATTCTATGTTTAATTCTTTCACTGACAAATGTTACTGTTTCTTATGTTCTTTTTTTCAGTGGAATTACACTTACGAAGCTAGTTGGAGTGATTGTCCTATTCTTTGCAAGATCAGAAGTTTTTGTGGTCTCTGATCTTACCCACCCAGCTTTGATTTTTATGGGCATGTCTGCTATCTGCTTCCAGCAATCTAAAGTCTAAACACTGTTGTCTCTTGGCAGGTTTATTACTTCCAAATGTACCTCGCATTGGTACTTATTGGGTTCTTACATGGGCTTGTATTTTTGCCTGTAAGTTGGACTGAACTTTCCTTATTACAAATTAGCATATCTATGATGCCAGAACACCCTGTGAATTTTGATGAATACCAGCTGCTTGGTTACCAAGTTTATGATACCATTGGATTGGTTATCATGCCTTTCTGGTATCATAATCGTATCATGGACCCATCTATTTATGATACCATTTGGTTGGTTATCAAGCCTTTCATCCATGTTGAATAAGAAGAAAAAGAAAAAGGTCACATGTCCTTCAAGAATCCATGGAGTGTTTAGAGTCCAATGCAGGCCCAACATTGACACTTGGTTCGTTTTAGGAGTGTCCATGCCACACTGAAACTTAGTATGCATTTCATGCACAAATCAAAATTTTAGGACTATAAAAGATAATGGTTTGAATGCAAATAACTATACACTCTAATGATGCCTTTAGCTAATGCCCTTGATAGCCATGGTCTAACAATGCAAAAGTTTAACAAAGTTTCACAGTGAATTATGCCTACAACCATCCACATTTTGCACAAACTTTCCTACTGAGAATGGTCTGGCTTTTATGTTTACTAGGTGGTACTGAGCATTTGTGGCCCCCCTTCAAGATGCCTACTAATTGAGAAGAAACAAGAAGAGCAGTCATCTTCATCACAATTGTAGGTGATGGGTGTGTAATGTATTGCACACTCCATCTTTTACATGCTGTTGGTTTTGTATCGATACTATGTATATTGCATGTATAATCGAGCACTTGCTAAAATAGTCTCAATAGTGTAAATTAAATAGGTGTCTTTAGCATCACGACCTTTTGTTGTCTGTTTTCATCTTCAGGAATGCCAGCAAAAAGGTAAGCTGTAAGCGATATAGATAAATTTAAGTTCCACCGTCATGGTAGTTGCTTAATTTTGGATTTGGAATTTTTTTTTATTGATTGGAAACGGTAACTTTCATTAAGGATATCAAATAAACATCTTACACTGTCAACCACTCAGACAAAAGAGTGTTGACCCCAACTGTCCCCTGTTTTGCCAAGCTATCTGCCACATAGTTTGCTGATCTCCTTACCCATTTGAATGTTACTCCAACTTCCCTTGCCAAACAAATTATTTTCTTTATTTGCTGTCGTCTATACATCCATACACCCAACTTCTCTGTTTTCAGCCACCCTATCAACAATTTAGAATTCCCTTCCACCTCTAAGTTCTGAAATTCCCATTGCTTGGCAAATCTCAGGCCATGTAGGAGAGCCAAAATTTCAATTCTCAGAGTCTCCCACTCCTATGGGACCAGAGTATAGCGCCACCATTCTGCCCTCCCCATCCCCAAAGACTCCCCCAGCTCCGAGGGTCCTGAATTACCCATGGAACTTCCATCAAAATTTAATTTTACCTTTTGTTGTGTTGGTGGTGTCCAAGAAGGCTGAATAACAGGCTATCTTGTTGAAGAGTTTGCCACTACTGACCAACCCCTTTGTGTGTGTGGATTGGTCCACACCACACCACAGTCACAATTGTTCTGAAATGTGGACATATTCATTTTTGATTCCATGTATCTCATTCATTTTATGAATGATATACACAGTTAATCACAAATATCTAATTTTTGCATTTTATATGATAAATATTTTAAAAAATGCATCAATGAATTAATACTAACCAATAAATATTAATTTTTTTATAAAACAGTAATAAACTAATTAAAAATTTTAAAAATATTTTTTAAATATTTAAAAATATTATTTTATTGATAAAAACATTAAAAAATTACAAGAATTAAGTAAAATAATTAATATTTTAGATCATACAGCTAAAATGCAACTGTAGGAATTTCATAAATAAAACTGAAGGTGTATCTCTGTGTATTTGTAGTCTCTCTTAGATCACACAACCTCTGACCCTTGCTCCTTGAATCATGGGATCAAAAATAAATTGTAGAGGGGATGTGTCCACGAGTTTTTTCCATTGACGATATATTGGGGTGTGGACAGGACTGGTCCACACTATATTGAGTTACCCAATCAAACTAATCTTCATCCCGTGGATGGGACCGAAAATTAATGTGATGCTCGGCATCGCCTAAGACTAACCATTAACCAAACTCTTAACCAATTAATTCTCTAACCAAAGTTATATAGAGAGAGAAAAGAAAAAAGCTACTAATTCATTCGACAACAAACCATAATCTACATTTTATTTTTACTTGCCCCCAATTCCCAACAGCAGGAATTAGAATTTGGTTGTGGGTAAAATGATCATTACACAGACGTATGCCCAATTACCTCCCTGGCTCCCTCGTTATGTATGCAGAAAAATAACAAACCAATTTATACGGTGCAAAAATAACAAACCAATTTATAAGGTGCAGAATCCCATTCTCCTTGTCCGTACTTTAGGCTGTCTGGTTGCAATGCAAATAAATATACACTGATGCAAAATTATGGTAATGCAAATTATTTGACTGGAAATTCTGATCTATTTTTGTTTTAAATTTTAGTTTATTTTGTTTGATTGCAGTACAAATGAAGTAAATTAAAACCTGAAGTAGAATAAAACAAAATCCATAACAAAATTAAACAAGAATTTACATTTTTTTTTCATTAACTCTCATGCATTTGCACTAATGCAAATAAAATTAAACTACAACCAAACACAGTCTTATGGTCATCCCTTCTCCCATTGAAACTAAAATCCGTGTGCCTACTTGGTATTCAAGGAATTCCACCAAAGCATAATTTTATGCTCACTAGGAAGTTCACCAGGCTCAAGTAATTCCTCTTCTGTCTCTCTACCTCAATATATGGTTTCAAGTATCAATTTCCATTCACCAGTCATGTCTCCTACATGAATCTGTTTCTCAAGCTGTTTTCAACAAGTCATTCCCTGGAGATCTTCATTAAGGTAACTATAGATTTTCTTTTTTCTCACTCCTCTCCCATTAAGCCATCTACATCTTGAGAACCTCAAAATAAGGTAGGAATGGCTTCCAACATCAAAATCACTTACAAACCAATCAATTGGTAACCCTCTACCTAGTTCGGTGGCCAACCAACTTGTTGGCTCAGCTGAAGTCCCATAAAACTAATTTTTGAGAGTAAGGGCTTGTTCGTTTGCTCTAACATCTAAAAGCGTAATAATTACATAAAGAGATATATTGGTATTGGTGAACTTTTCTTTCCTAATGCAAAGAATGCTCTGAATTCTGAAAACTATCAAATGTCCATTCTAACCCCACATATGAGAATTTTTGGGAGTATCATTAGAAAACAAAAAGTTACAAGATTCCACTTCAAGAGATAAGAGATAAGAAGAAACGAACACTCGTTTTCCTCTTAAAGTTATAAGATTCCTCTTAAGAGATAAGAGTTAAGAGGAAACAAACAGGCTCTAAGTTATCCATCGTGAACTTATTAAAATGTGTTACAAGTTTGTACAACAACTATCATGAAGGCCCACTTCGAACTAATGAAGTTTCCATACTTGGGTGGGAAACCTGGTGGACAAAGAGTTTAATGGTGCGACTCCGAGATGACTTGTATATGTCTATACAGTCCCCCAAGTCGGCATCACATGTTAATAGGACCCATTTGGAATCATTAACCATATACTTCAGCTCAATTCTATTGGTATCATCAATGTTGAATCTCTCTGCAATCTCTTGTTGTAGATCTTTAAAGCCCCAAGTGGATTGCAAACTGAACCGTATTTTATCTTCTTCATAGGTAACTTTCACTCTAATTGCACCCACACTCTGTGAAACATGGGAACCACTCCTAGGCAATGGAGGTAAGTTCTCAAGAGTCGGATGCTCACAGAGGGATTTCTGGGTATGTGATCTTGCAAGAGGCTTTATTTCCTCTTGACTTGATGCATGCAACTCTGCATCATTACATGATCTCGTTAATACACCACCAGCCTTTTCAGACACTGAAATATCTTCACTACCAGCAAGATGGATAGCATGCGCATGTTGTTGTATTCCAGTAGAAATACAGTGGCTTGAAACAGAGCTCTGAGTGTAAGAAGTGGAAGGTGATTTTGGGGGAGCAACAAGGGAGCTTATTGCTCCCCAAGATGTTGCTTTTAACGACTTTGGATCGTCATTTGGAGAAGTCGGATCGGAGAAGTTCAAGTGGAAGGAGCCAATCTGAAAGACACCGTCTGCACCCTGGACTGAGTCAATTACAACCTTAAGTTTTCTCAATGAGTGGCCCACCTTCTTGATCTTCCGAGATGGCCATCTAGTGATCCCATGTTGCCTGCATATCCTTTTCAGTGTGGTGGGGCATACTGCAACAGAAACAAATGCTATTAGTTGCTAATCAGTTCTTAGATGTCACCATCTAAAATGAACCCATTTGTGTTCAGCAAAAGTTTCCTTGATAATGAACTGTGTTTTTGAACAGCCTAAAATGAATCCATTTCTGCTGGCCATGGTGTGGATGGAAATGCCATGTAATGACATCTATAGGCTTCTCCCTTGTTTGGTAAAAGAAAAATTCCATAAGCCATGCATCCTATGTGAACAAGGAACACACTGATCCTTTAATCAGGCTTTCAAATTTCACCAGCAATGCTTGGCTCGGAAATACAAGTAGGGCTATAATCAGATCGGACTCGAATTTTAATCAGATCAGATGGGGTTAAATCCATATCCAATCCAATTATTAATATGGATGCAAATTTTAACATCAGACTTTCGGAGTCCATTGACAGCCCTAAATACAATGTGTGTGTATGGATGCAGTTCTCCATTGCCTGCCAGGCTGCCACGGCCTAGCCAGTACAGTCGCTAAACTTATTTGAGAAAAGTGAAACTCACAAAAGAGTATAAAATCCAAAAGCAGATTGATAGAGCTTTTCACTGTCTTGGGACCTGAACAGGAGCAGTTCTAGTTCAGGTGCAGCCATCAAGACCCAACACTTCATCCAAAAACATACCAATTTGTCTGATCATAAATGATTAATTCAACGATAAGATTTCATCTCATATGTCACTTACCACCGATACTCTTGGCAGCATCTTTTAGGCTTCCAGCAAAGTATTGCTGAAGAACTTGCAAGCTGATGATCTTCTCTGTCTTAGTCCGTCTCTTCTCTCCTGTTCTACCACCACTTGAGTAGGTACCTTCACCAAAATCAGAAGATTTTCCATGACAATCAATACTATACCTGGGCCCAGGATCCCGGAGATGCTGCTCATACTCAGATAACATTTTCCCATTTGTTGTGATTTTGTACTCTACAGTTGGTTCTTCCTTTTGGAAAACCACTGGGACACTTTTATCTTTCTGTTGGGACTCCATGATATAAGCAATCTCAGATGATTCTTCTTTACAAGATCCTATGGATTCCATAGATCTGAAATTTGACAATTTTTTTCTATCAGATGTCCCATTTGAGGGAGTGGTTACTTCACTAACTAGGAAATCAGTTTCTTCCACTAGCTCTTTATCTGTGATCACCTGTAAACTCTGGCGAACCTGTTGTACTATGATGAACAAGGAATTAAGAATCACCTTCTGTTTCTCAATATCCACACAATCAACAGGTAAGAAGAACTCCAAGACATAGTCAGTGGTTTCAGTGCGGGTACTCCTCAGGTGGATGGCGACTGCAGCACGCAAACCAAACATCCTAGCATAGTGCAAGAGAGGATATTCTGTCTTGCTGAAGGTAGTTACATCAGTTGAGAAACACAGTTGGTTTGTTGTGAATGCTTTTCCAACAACACCTTGACCTCTAAAAAAGTGGTGCTCAGAGCATGCCTCATGAAAACCCCACAATAGAGGATCTCCCATATGGCAAGCAGAATCCATGGTGGAAACACAATCGGCATAGTTATCATCCGAATGTCGATATCCTCCCTTACACTGTTGGATGCATGGAACCCAGGTTTGAGCCAAGGGTAAACTGTGTGTCTCACAGGCAACCCTTAGAACCTCTAGAATCTCAGGTAGTGCAGCTTGGTAGGAGTTACTGGTTACCTGAATAAGGTAATTCCCTCCATGACTTAAAGTAAGGATATGACAAGATTTATAAACCAAAAAAAAAAACCTTGAAAAGTCTTGCCCTTTTACCTTCAAATGGGAAGACATTGGAACTTCAGAACTCCTAAGATCAACAGCCTGCAGGAAAGGTGAGGATATGGAGTAAGATGAAGTTGTGGTAAGGAAAATATATACTCATTTCTGCATTTGCAGAGAAGATTTCAGAATTTCTGAAAACTTACAAGATTGGTCAGTGTGATATAAACTTGGGCTGACAAGCATGAGAATGTGGATTCAAGTCTAAAAGCACTCGCTTTGGTTGTGTTTAGTTTGAAAGAAAATGAGAGAGAAACAGAAACTTGAGGTGAAGTTCTTAATGAATTTCACAAAATTTATTAATAACTTTCCTTCAACTTTCTGTTTCTTTCTTATTTTCTATCAAACCAAACAATAAGCCTTCATGCCCAAAAAAGAAAAATAAAACCAAGCAATTCCAAATCAAAAGAGGGAGGAATTACTCTTCACATATGGTAACATGAAAGCCATTAACTAAAAGCAATTAATAGAAATGGTTAAAATTTGCAATAATTGCAAGATCCATGAGAGAGAGAGAGAGAGACGTATCCATATCCATATCCACTCTAACTACGAAAAGTGGAAAAAGTAATCAAGCAAACAAACCTCAAGAGCTCTGCAAACACTTTCAAACTCGGGGCGGTAATTGATCTTCTGGGTGGTCATCACAACCTCAACTACACCCAAGCAAGTCCGACTGGTTCGCTCGAACACCGGCAGAGCAACGGTCCCACGAACATCACACCTCTGGGCATAATCAATACGTGGGTACTCATCACTGTCGTAGAACCGAACGTCGGGGGTCCACTCAGGCACCTTCCCCAAGAAAACACGGCCAGGCAGCCCAACTGTCTCCTCTGAATTCTCCTCAGCTGGGAACTGATAGTTCAGAGAGGCGTTTCTGTAATTTGCCAGTCTCCGGCAGTTGGGATCCAGTGAGAACGGCTGGCCATCTGTGGTAAGAACATGCTTACCTCCTCTTTTTACAGGAACCCATATCTGGATAAGGACATCTCTATCTTTCGTGGACTCTCTGATATATCCAACTGCCTGAATCAATCTCTCTCTCACTGAAGGTCCCGGATTTGAACTTGGACCAATCCACCATTTTTTCTTTAACTTGGAGCTTCCTATAGCTGGATAACATTCTGCTCTTCCTGAAGAGTTGGCACTTATGACTGTGTTTGGTGTCCTGATGTCATCTTCCGTTTCTGTCTCAACGTGAGGTTGGTTTGCAAGGAAAGACGACCCTGTTGTCTCTTCTGGGTCAGTTCTAGGTGGGACTGGATTCAAACTTCCAGCACTGATCTCAGGTGTAGGGAAAAAATATGAAGAATCAGAGAGAGCAGCTGAAGTAGAGGACCACCCCGGTTGCAGGAAATCAGACCCACCTGACGTCTCCAACCAGCACCCTCCTAATAAGAGTTCATTCGAGAGATCAAAATCCTCCGGGGTGTTGGAGAGAGTTCCCAACTCTGTATTAGGTGGAAAAAAACCATCTTCCATGAATGGTTACCTTCAAAACTCCATCCTTGGCGGCCTATTGCATCTGAATTCTCAGACGTTTCAGGATCCAAAACAGAGATGAACGTAAAATGTATAAAACAACCAGGATGGATTCCTTTCTTCCATCTCCAAAATCTCTATCTGTCGGAGTTGTAGAAACATCGTCAACAGAAATCTTTCAGAAACTGCAATCAGAGAACAACCATTTTAGGGGAACAAAAAAATGGAGAAACACACACACATACAGTTGAAAGAAAACTGTCAAAAGCAAATTTCAATGAGTAAATGCTAAGAAAAAAAAGCTTTCAATAGATTATATCATTCCATGGTTGGTTTATTCTTTCTCTTTGACAAATCCAAATCGGTCCCAATTGCAGGGATCATCACCCAACAAAAACGTTGTACAGCGCTCTGGTTATCTAGGAATGGGAACCCAGTTCTGGAGTATCAAATCCATCTAAGTTGCGGTAAACACAGGACCAAGATCACAAATCACAAGCAGGCATGGTTGAAAAAGGAAAAATAGAGGAACAAAAAAAGAAATTAACTCACTTTATGCATATTCCTGCAAAATAATTAGTAAAATTTGGAAAGAACAGAGCTAATTCAAATTTTTTTGGTACTAGAGCTAATTCACTTGAAACTTGATAGAACCCATTAACCGAAAACTGTCGTGTTGCCAGTTTCAGAACCCACATGACCCAAAACAGTAACAACAAAACCCAAAAACAAAGAAAATTAAAGAGCAGAAGAAGAAAAAAAACTCACACTGTGAACTCTGAAAGGCTAAGATGAAGAAGCTATTTTTCGTTGAAATACCCAAAACTTGTCTATGATGCAAGAACATCACCAACAAACTTTACATGATAAAATATCAGGTTCTCCACAATAATGGGTCAACATCTGTCAGTTTTCTAATTCTAAATTATTTCAGGTTACAGTGAGAATACAATCTCCTCCTAGTTAGGACCCCACAAGCCACAACTCTTTTAGAATTCCAACAATCCCTAGTCGCCCTTTTCTTCCTGTGAGTTATGGCTAGTAAAGTCAACTGCAGTGTAATCGGGAGAGAAAATCAAAAGCTCAAAAAATAGAAAAAAAAAGGAAAAATGTTATTATAAGCAGAGCAATCAGCAAGCAGAGGAATAAACAGGAAGAGAGTGAGAAATCATATCTGTAAAGAGGCAACAGGGAATCAAAATCATTCTCTTGAAAATTTTGATTTTAATTTATATTTTTATATACATAAGGGGAGAGGGTTGGCGGTTTGGGATTCTCGCATCTCTGGTTTCAGTCTCGCAGACTCGCACCATGAGTGATGACGTTGATGATGATCTTCGAGGCTCCTGTATCTGCAGCTAGGAGTTGACACGTGGCAAAACAGGAAGGTCAAATTGTCATCAGTGACACGTGTTTCATGTGTAATGAGTGATTGGTTGGAGGGAGTCCGGACGAGCTAGCTGCACTGGCCGTGCTGAGGGCTGTTTTACTGTTTATCCGATAATTAGGAATGAGAATGGAGAATTTTCAATTTTTTTATCATGAGGAAATTATTTAAAAATAAGATTTATGAAAATTTAGGTATTTTAAAAATTAGATTATGAAAATTTTGGAATATTTTAGAAATTGAATCATGGGATCCTAAAGGTTTTAAAGAATTTGAGGGAAATTTAAAGATATTTTAAAAATTAATATTAAATTTAGACATATTTTAATAATGACCATGGTTTTGGTCCGTTTGGATCCCCTCCTCATCTCTGATTATTTTTTGGTTTCCGTGCATGTTTAAAACCAGGGAATAGCTGTCCAATATGAGGTGGGGTAGGCCCCAATTATATGGGAAAATTTGTCATCCCAATCCAGCCAGAACTGCTATTCACACCTACCCACAATAATAATAAGGCAGCTCCACGACAGCCATCAAAGTACATATTACCCATATCTTGGCTTTGGGTGTATGGATGACGTGGGACATTATTATTGGTAAAAACAGCCCTAAATGCAACTATCAACTGCAATGGAATAAATCCAAATTCCTGAATCCCGTTGCGGGTTCCCTTGTGTCTCAGTTTATAAGAAAACGAGTCAAAACTCGTATGATGTATGGAATTTTTTAACCAAATTGTAATAGAGTTAAAAATCGTTGATTAATTTTTAAAGAGCCTTAAATACTTATAAACAATTTACCATAAAATTTCATTAAAATATCCCCTATTTAATCCTTTATCACATCAATATTTTAATTTGAATTATCTTATTGACTAAGATATTCATTTCTTAGATAACCTTGACCATATCATTTATGGACCAATCAAACCCCCCACCAAATGATCCAAGAGACCAATACCTTTAGAAACTCCATTGTCAACACCTGATTTTTGCTCAATTCATCATTGAAACCCTAATTTACCCCAAACAACTGATCAGACTATTCTGATCCTTTCGAAGTACCTAAAAATCCCTGAACATTGTCATCAAACTTAGGGCCTCCTAAAATATCTACCCCTGAAATTTCAATTCAAAATTCTCTATCATTTCTTCTTTTACCAAACCAATATTCCCTTTCAAATCCTCTCCTTAGCCTGAAGCACCCACAACCTAAATCTCCTTGATCCTAACACCTCTGAATCAATTAGATCATACAATTGAACCCTAGACACACCAAAAAATCTACCCATGAGTTTTCAACCTAAAATTCCCCCATTTGCCCCATTATCGAACAAATATTCCATTTCGGATGCTCTCGTTGATCCAAATTTGCATAATTTTGGCCTTCAAAAATCAATCAAATGTTTCCATAAGATCCTAAACACCCTAAAAATCCTATCCACAAAAGTTCAGCCCAAAATACCTTTGTTTGCCCCTTCATTACATCAAGGTTTTGTTTCAAAGCTTCAAATTGACTGGATCAAGTCCTTTCTAGATTTGCCTGATCTCAGCATAAATGGGTCAATCTGACCCTACCAATCAACCCATGATGCCTAAGGTTACCAAAATTACCAAAATACCTAAATCAAATAAATAAATAAATACCATAATTAATTATGGTATTTTTAATGATATTTTTGTTATTAATTATGGTATTTATTTAATTATTTAACTATATTATATGTATTTTTTATTAATTTTGGTATTTAATTAAATAAATACCATAGTTAATTAATAATTGTTGTTAGATAATATATTTCTAATACTATTAATTAATTAAATAAATAAAATAATTAAAGAAATATCGTAAAATAATGTTACTTAATACTGATAATAAATTAAATAATTCATTATGAGATAGGGAGAAGGGAGTGATGAGGTGATTTCATGAGAGAGCAAGAAAGACTAAAATGAAGAGTATCTAAGAGTTCTCGGTTGGGGTAAGGGAGAAAGCTTAGCCCATAACGTGCCATATATACACACTAGCAGGCCCCCGTGCAATGCACATGAAAAAGATGTTAGGACTTATATGGCTTAAAATTTATTTTTCTTTGGGCTATACAACCCAGGAGTAGGGGTGAAAATTTTCCTCATCCCCATTAAAAAATTCAAGGATTTTGCTCCCCGATGGGGACCAAGATGGAGGCTAAAATTTTTCCTTAACAGTGATCAGCCTTGGGGACGGGTATTAATTTAAAACTTGGGGTCGGGGATAGGGAGCATGATTCTTGCCTCGAACCCGCTTATTTCAATTCCTATAGGGGGGTCATCCCCCAAACCCATAAATATAGTTCCAATAATCATAGAAATTATAAAATGTAGTGTCCAATAATTATGGAAATTATTAATTTTATGATTTAATTTTCACTAAATTAAATTACCAAAATCAGTAATAGTTAGTAATTAAATTACCTAAATCACTAATTACTGCTCAAAAATTATAGTAAATATCAAAATTACAAAATTGTTTATTGAAATTAATTTTCCACTAAAGCATTATTGAAAAATTTTATTATTATTTGATAATATCATTAAATATTAATAAATTGACCAAAATTATTGAAAATGTAAAACAAAATTTATATTTATTTGAATAAATTTTCCAACGAAAATTACTCATAATTTTTAATTATTAAATTGGTATTTATTAATATTTTAATTAACTGTTCATTTTCAAAAATTTCTGAAATTAATTTACCAATATCAATAACTTTCAGCAAGTAATTATCAGTAATTAAAATTTTTCAATTACCAATATTACAAAAAATTATCAAATGAATTTTAATTACCAAAATTAATTTGACTAATTAATAAGAGATAATTTAACTAATTTAATAATTACCAAAATTGTTGTGTAGAAATTACCAAAACAATTACAAATATTTAAATGTAGTGATTCTTAATAAATAATAATAGTTTAAAAATAAATAATAATTTTCTGAATTGGTAATTAATAATTACTAATAATTCACAGAAATATATACAGTAATTTTCAATAAATTACAATAATTCGGGTGACCCAAATCATGGAATCCCAGTTGCAAATCATCGTCAACACTAATTATTCATTAACCTGACCTGATAGCAATGTAATACGAAAATTTCAGCATTATAAATTTATAACTAATTTGATAGGCCTTTCAAAAAGAGTAACGGTTTGAGTTTCGATAAGCCATTCAAAAAAATAAATAAATAAATAAATAGAAGTATTTTGAATGATCATACAACTGTTGGGACGCTTCCCAAATTTTAGAACCAAACCGTGATTCGATATACATTGCCATGACAAAAAACAGAGCATTAGGAAGTGAAAACGGATCGAGAAAGATGGGCAATCACCATTTTGCGTAGATGGTTAATTAGAGAAAACCTTGGAAGATGAGCAACTTTGGGAGATGGTTCGTCGTTCTAGATGCAGTTTGCTCACTCCAATGATGCCAAAAAAAAAAAATCACTGATTTGAACTTTGAATAGATGGGCAATTTAGAATTAGCTCAAGATCTCCTTTCCACGTACAGCTTGACTCTCTCTCTACGTAGATGGAATACGAATGGAAAAACAGGGGCAATTTAGAATTAATTCCAAAAACTCCTTTCCATCTACGCTACTTGACCTCATTGCCATTTATGTTAAGTTTTGAAATTCAAGGTTATCTCCAAAAACTCCTGGCTATTGATTTTATGTTTTTTATGTATAGCACGACGGTTATGGAATTGAAAGTTAGTGAATGGGTGACGATATAGTAGATAAAAGTAAAGCGATAGAATAAAGTCAAAGAGAATGCAAGAGAAGAATAATGTAGCAAAGAAAGACATGATAACGTGAATTATTTAACTATAGAATAAAAAACTTTAGTCGAGTCTGAATTGGGCACGTTACCATGAGAGTGAGAGTGGGCAAATTAATAATTGGCCATTGATTTATTTTAGATAAAAACAAAAGCATACCTGTGAATTAGTGGACTGTGGTGAACATGTCCAACACAGAAATTAACCCGAGATGACAGAAAACTGTTGGATTGGAACGAGCTAACTGGTATGGTGGGTCCTCCCTCTCATCAATAATAAGAAGAAAAAACTTTGAACGTTTGGGAAAAAAACGCCATGGAAATTGAAAAGTCACAGTCGTCGGGTTATTTTATAATAGATGTCGGTATCAGCAGTCTATTAATGGAAAAAAAAAAAAATTAAAAGATTAGGGTTTTTACCGTCCACTTCACCTCAGCATTCAGCTGTTTTCTGTTTTTTTACAAGATGAACGTGATCTAGATCTCACAAAAGGGCAGAGTTTTGACCAATCAGAGCACCCTGTGAATTGTCATGCATATCATCTGATTGGTCACCTCTTTTATTATACAGTTGATTTGCTGTAAGTTTTTACGATATCATGTCAACCCAACAATGAAAATAAAAAAATCCTAATTCTTATCGGGTCTAGACTCAATACACCCGATTATATTGTAAAATATATTTGTTTATTTAAATAATAATTTAAATGTTAAATTTTGATAATATAACCTTGATAAAAATAAAAAAATACTAATTTATTTAACTAATATTATCTTATTTATTATATATCAAATTTATCATTTCAAACATAAAATATGATAAAAATTGTAAAAAATTAAGAAAATATTATATATATATATATATATATATATATATATATATATATATTAAATAGAAATAATCAGTTTGATACAGACAAAAACTAAAACCACCCCAATTATCAATTGGAACAAAATCATGAAACCAGAACCATTATAACCAACTCAGTCCATTCTTCATAGTAGACCCAACCCATTAACAACCCTACTTGTTAGAGGGTACTAACATCATATGGGCTGCAACTAAGGCCTGATAATACTATGCTTGGGCTCAGCGCTGGGCCGGATACTTGGGCTTTTCCCATTTAAAATTAACAAATTTATATCTTTTTAAATAAATTAAAATTTTTATTCTATTTAAAATTAATATTCATACATATTATAAATATTATATTATTTATATTTAATTTTTCAGCCAAATCAAGCCACAAGGACCTAGAATTTTAGGGTCCGGACCAGGCCAGGCTTGAAGATAACTTCCTATCCGAGTCCAATAAATTTCTAGGATAGAAAGAGTCGTGCAATGCAGGCGTGAAAAACCAGAGCTTCTCTGGGTTCTACTTTCGTATCTTATTCACTAACAATACCCAAATATATACATTTGAGTCTCCTATGTATACAAGAATCGGAGACTCCTGATTCAATTACAATTACAACA